CTGAAGGATGGCTGTTTTCGAAGGTAAAAATAACTGATAACGCAAACAGCTTACTAAACTTGGTGGAAACGAAGTTTTACGATGTAGACCTCGCGCTGACATGTTTGTTTTGATTTTTAACAACTTTAATCTCGAGCGCTATCTCGCGACCCCTCGAGTGATGACGTGATGCCTCGTGCTGAAGTGCGCACTAGAATCCAGTCACCTCTTGGAAAAGTTATTGTTTTGAGCCACCCTAATATAAAATCAAGCCAGGATGCTTAGAAATGTAGAAAACGGCGCTTCCCAACTGTGTTATTCCTTCTTTTCTCTTTATTCGCCCTGTTCTGTCTTTATTTTACTTGAAAACGAAGTAGGATAATTTTGATGCGCGGAGCAAAATTTAGAGAAACGAGCATAATTCGGGTATAATTTCCAAAAATTTTGAGCAGTGCTAGAAGCATAATATGCCAGTTTTACGAGCACAATCGACAAAAGCCTAGAAGCTGCGTACTTTGATTATTGTTTTCTTTGACCCATGCAGCCCTCACCTGAAAAGGTAAATTTCCTACGTACTCTAACGTGTGTAACATTTCGTTGACAATGTCGAGTCAGGTTTTTATTAGCAAGATTTTTAACTGGTCCTTCAAGTTAATTAGAGAAACAAAGTGTCTTATGAAAGTCATATCTATTTTTTGACAAGCAATATTAATGATGAATTTATTTTACTCGTCCCTTTGTTGCTGGAAGTGATTTTCTAATTTCACAGAGATTGATTAATTTGATTATTTCTGTAGAATTGTGACTTTATGAAGAACTTCACAAACACTGCCCTCCATGTTTACTTTGCTGGTAACCTCAGGATTTATAACTGTGACAACTGCTGTAGTCGTTGGTATTTTACCTTCAATGGAGCCGAGTGCAGCTCTCCTGGCTCCATTGACGGTGCGTTCTACATGCGAACCGGCAAGAACCACAATCTTCATCGTCACCGCCATATTGAAGGTCACTGTAATAACATCCACAAGGGAAAGGTGCGAGTGGGATTCTGGGTTGGAAGTTGCAACACTGGCCAGAAGAATTCTGACGCTTACACAGGCTGGGCGACAATGTCCCGGATCTTCATTGAAGAGGTTCCAAAAGCTCAACAGTAAACACGTTACACGTGGTTCACTGGACTTTCTAGAAAAACCATTATATAGTACAAAAGTTGCACTGTTGTAGTTTTATAAGCGTTCGTATCAACAGATTTGAAACTGTTGTATCAGCTGAGCAA